AAGAATTTCTTCCTAATATCTAATCTAAACCTACCCTCTTTTAGCTTAAAGCCATTTCCCCTTGTTCTATTACTACCTGCCTTTGTAAAAAGTCCCTCCCCAGCCTTCTTGTAGGCCCTTCAGGTACTGGAAGGCCACTATAAGATCTCCCTGGAGCCTTCTCTTCTCCAGGCTGAACAGCTCCAACTCTCTCAGCCTGTCCTCACAGGAGAGCTGCTCCAGCCCTTGGATCATCCTGGTGGCCTCTTCTGGACTCGTTCTAACAGCTCCATGTCTTTCTTATATTGGGGGCTCCAGAACTGGACACAGGACTCCAGGTGGGGCCTTACGAGAGCAGAGTAGAGGGGCAGAATCACCTCCCTCGACCTGCTGGCCACGCTTCTCTTGATGCAGCCCAGGATACGGTTATTGGCCTTCTGGGCTGCGAGCGCACATTGCCGGCTCAATGTTTCATGGATCCTGCCTCACCCCCAAAGTGTATAAGTTTCTATCCTTTTATTCATCACCTGCAGCCCTCCCTCCCCTAGAATTAGGAACCCTTCTTTGGAGGAAAAGAGGGCTGAGTAGCAGCAAATCAGTATGTTCAATATTATATTGAACAAATGTAATGTCTCTGGACTGAAATTATTAATACTCTTCTAATAAGGATAGCACTGGATGTTTAAACTGATTTGCAACTGCAGCTTGCATGGGTTATCTTCTTGCTGGTAATATAGTATAGTATATCCATAGATTCTATTCTAATTACAAGTTTACAGACAAAACTTGGTACTTTTCTCTACCACAGTTAAAGGGACTGACTACTAAAATGCCTGCTGGAGGCAAGTGATGTGGACACCTTCCAAAGCAATCTTTGGGTTTTTTTGTCCACAGTGGATTGAAGCTGAAGTGCATGCTAATAACCGCTGAAAACTCTTATACAAGGAGGAAAACCTCTGCTCATAAACTTTTCCTGATGTCTTACCTGTTTCTCTGTAATTGCATGTATCAGACAGCTCAGCTACACTACACAGATGCTTGCTTTTAGTCCAAACACACTCGAGGATGTAGCTTGGGCTAGAAAGCTGTCAGGTCTCTCTGGAACATTTTAAAAAATATAAGACCAGATATATTGAAAATTATAGGAAATAGTTGATCCTATTTGCAGCAAGACAGATAAACTAGATGAAATGGAAGAGTGTCAAAGGCTGCTAGTCACACAAAAACTGGGATGGTGTGGAGTCTCCATCTCTGGAGACATTCAAAACCTGCCTGGATGCCTTCCTGTGTGATCTCATTTAGGTTCCTGCTCCAGCAGGGGGGTTGGACTAGATGATATTTCGAGGTCCCTTCCAATCCCCAACATTCTGTGATTCTGTGAAAGGTTAGAATGCTAATAATGTAATTATCACTGGTAAGGTTATTTAGGGTTTATTTAGAATTCAGAAAATTATAGTTTCTCTTTAAGAGATGACTCAAAAATAATTCATGCTCGTTGAAACTTCCCCTCTCCAGGCTCCTTTAACAGAAAACTATCATTCTATTATTGCTGATAACCTTTGATACAAAAGTTTCAAGTATAAGCAGTCACAAATAGCTCCATATGGTATAAAAGTTTTACAAACGTATTTATAGCAGCATACACATTGGTCAAACCTAAATTACAAGATTTCTATAAGGACTGGAGTTGCAGGGATATAGCTACTTTACCTCCAACTGAAGAAAGGTGGAAAGCTTTTGAAATCTTTCCCATTCCTTAAGATGACTTTTTTCCGAACCGCAACTTACAGTGACACTAGTAAAATAGGTGAAAGAAGTTGGAAACTACTGATGATGAATTATTTATCCTTATTTTAAAAAAACCCACAAAAACTAAACAAACCAAACACCACCAAAAAACCCCCCAAAACCCTCCACTGAAAATCTTATCTAACCATCTAATTAAAAAGAGAATGGAAACTTATTAAAAACTTATTTTTTAAGCATGATCTGTTGGTCATTTGCATGATCAGAAAGTCTTACATGCAACAGCTTGCTGATTGTATTGTGCACAGTGTTTTGTTAAATATATTTATTTTCATATTAAGATGGAAATTTTATTTCTTTTTGATAATACAGTCTGATGACTAAAAATACATGCTAGTTCTGAAAGTGCACAAAATAAGAACTATCTCCCAAATTGCTAGTGGCTCAGTTCTGAAAATATATTAAGCAAGAAAAAATGGATTAATTTAAAGTTAAGTTAGTATCGACATTAACATTTGTATATGAAGACAGCAAAACACTGAAGTATGTTTTGCACTGTCTAGTGTAAATTATCTAACTGCATCTTATAGAGAAATGGTACAAAGAAGAGTTACATCTGGCCTTATTCTTTATTGCAAGAGTTGACCTAACTGCTTTGTTTCAGCTTCTTGTCAGCTGTGAAAAGCGGTATGGAAATAAAGGTCCTTTACCTAAACAAGCTCATAACACCAAGGGCTTTGCTTTGTTTTAGTTAGACTGGTGCAGATGTCAGAATATGCTATTCTAATACAATTTAGCATGTTCAAAACAGAGATAAATACTGACATCAACCCTGTTTTACTCTGACACTGACACACACAGTCCATTTTGAAATTCTTTCATGGCTATGAACATCTTACTAGTACATTAAAGGAGTCAGCTGCTTATAATCTGTGCATTAAGAAGATAAAGAAAGCACAAACTTAAATTTAAGTGATTATCCTGTTGTAAGAACAACATGGATATAAGTAATAGAAGTGTCTTAAACCTTGGATATAGTGAAAATTATCACTGGTCAGGCACACTTACTGAACATGGGCATGTGCCTTGCTCACTGTAAATACAGAATACAACTTGTTTAAACTATCCATTTGAGCACATTTTTAAACAAGTTTGCATATGGACTACTTGTTAAGGTATCCCCATTCATCCTGCAGTATGAAATACAGGGTCATGTGCTGATAATGGGAAGACTTACTGATTTCTTTAAATGCGGTAACTGGAGTTTTAGGTAAACTGCCAGAAAGATGCAAGATAATTCTGGCTGGCAGAATGATGTGTTTCCCCCATTCCTAGTGCCTTTTGATTTTTTAGGAGACAAAGATTACTGATCTCATTTTGATCACACTTAGTGGTCTATGCATTTAATTGTGTTCACACTAGCCCCTGATAAGTGACATGCTGTTTAAATTCGTCTGAACATCAGTTTTAGTTAATATTTTAATTAATAAGTCCCTCGTGTCCTATGGCTACCTGCTCTCTAATGAACTGAGTGATTCATGTTCAGTACTTCAGTGCTATCTACAACCTGAGAGCTGAAACAGTAATCCCTTTATCCTTTGATGTGTTCTCTATTCTGCTCACATGTCTTCGCAGCAGGCAAGGCATAGATTGGTGTTGCATACCACCTTTCATAAAAGTAAGTCATAAGCAAGGTGTTTTGCAGTTAGGGAATGAATTAAAACTGCTTTTCCAGTCAGCACTGAGCTTAAGTTACACAAATGCCTAGAAGCCTGTTCAAGTTGCTGCTTCTTTGTACATGCAGCAGCAAAGTCCTGTCAGCATGCAGCAGTCGCTGTGTGCTGCTACTGTGCCTTGCTCCAAGTATGTCACATTAACACCAACATTAACCATGAATCAAACTATGGATAGAAGTATTTTAAGTAAATTGCTTAATTATATCCCATTTTTCAGAAGTGCCTAAGTAATCCAAGTCCTACTAAGGGGACTTAAGGGTTGGGACTTAAGCTCCTAAGTGTCTTAGGCAACATTTTTAGAAGTAACATCCATGTATCCACTAATGTCTCTGGCAATTCCTGAAATCTGGTGCTGTTTAACAGTATGGAATACTACATATGTAGTTAAAACGGAGGCCAAAGTGGGATTGCAGTTCCAGATACTTTTTTCCTCAGGAAAGGTTTGATGTGGTAGGCAGGCAGAGCAGTCCAGAGCAATGTGAATCAAGCTCCTCAGGGCAGGTTCCTTTGTATAGCCTGTTGCCCCCAAGGAAAGAAAAAGGGCAAAAAGTTAAAAAACTTCCTTTCTTAATTTTCCAGTCACTGGTTTCACTAAATACACTCCACTAAGCTCAGCTCTGTTCCATCTCCACTACAAAATCCTGCCTTCTAAGCAACCGATCTACATCTTGCATAGTGTTTGGTCTGTCTTAGTGCTGTGTGTTTCATGTGTGACTGAGCACATTTCACTCACTATTCGGTATTTTGGGTCTGATTTCTAGAGATGCTGAGCATTGTTGTCTCCTGACTTCAGTGAGGAGTACTGCACAAATTTATTTAGTTTTACTCTTAAATTGATTGCAGTTTCATTCCTATGCAGGTTCCAGATTTCACTATTACAGACCTGTCTTCAGAGTCAGATGATATCCCAGACATTTTGGATTTGGATGAAGATGATCAACAAGACTTTTCACGCACAAATGGCCCTTACACTACAGGGCAAAGAGCTGAATAGAGAGAAGCATAAAAATGTCTTTTTGATACAATGTACTTTTGCCATGTTTAACTTACATTTCTCCTTTTTAAAGATGAACCTGCCTAGCTTAGGGATTTTGGGGATATTTTTTAAATCATTACTGTTTCACTTAGCTGCATCAAAATTCTTATTTTTTTCCACCTAAGGAATGCATGCTACATTAATTCATTAGCATGGGTTTTGAGCTTTCATTTGACAAACCAGGTATAGCCTAGCCAGTGTATCCAACTAATGTAAACTTTGTTCATTACTTGTTCTTCTGGTGGCAGCAGCCATGAGAACACTCCAGTGCTTTGCTTGCATAAAGGGCTGCCAACAAAAGGAGTTGATGAGGATTTACCCACAACATTTCCCCTTTCAGTCTACATTAAAAGCACTTCTGCATCTACCTCTTTGCTGCTGGAAGGGGTAAGAGACTTTGTCTCAGAGTAAGTACCTCGGATACCTTTGTACCTTCAGAGTTTAGAAGCTTAGAGCTTCCCTTTGGCATGAATGCTTTATGCACAAAAGGACTCCCTTTCTCTCTATATGCCTTCAGTATGCAAAAATTTTGGCCATCCTGATGCTCTCAGTTGTGGGGCCTGAGATTAGAATAGAATGTTTAGAAAGGTAAGTTTTCCAGGAATAAGGATGACAGTTAAACAAGAGAGGGGAAGAGACTGTAAAAAGGAAAAACAGAGGGTGAAGAGATATAAACAGATGTGGGACAAAAGAAAATTGTAAAAAAGAAACAGAGTTGAAGCCCTGGATACTTCTGGTGACAGTGATGATTTTTTAGTGTCTGAATGAAATCTCAATCAAATGTTTGCCAAGGAATGTTGAATCCGCGTTTGCTTGCGCACGGTGACTTCTGCAGGAGCTGGGGTGCATGGGAATTGGACTGGAGGCAGGCTTGTTACATGTCTTTCCGAGGATCAGGCAGAACTCCTCCCGCAGAGACCGCCTCGATGTCGCCGGGGTGGCTGCAGCCGGCGGGGAGGCGTCGCGCGGTGCTGCTCCGGTACCGCCGCGGACACGTTACTGGGCAGTCGGTACCTCCGCTCTCGCCTCGCCTGACACTTGGTTACTGCGACATCTTTCAATTCCGGTCACTGAAATGCCTTGGCAATAAACGTCTGAGCCGCAG